TTACACAGGAACATAAGAAGCGGCCATCACAAACTGATGTCAAAAAATTTTCTTTTTAAAAAGTCTATACCTCCTTTCTCTGAAAGCCAAACCCTTTTTAATCAAATACTTAGAAACATCAACACGCTCTCCTTTTTCATCTTTGCAGAAAATTTTCACAGGTAATGGCCATGTTGTGCTGTTTTCCTGCAGTGATTTAAGAGCAGAGTAAATATGAGACACAAAAATGAAGTCTTCTTATAAACAATTTACTTTTTGTAGGCATTTCCTCTACATTTCTCTAAACAAGAAAAAAATTCCCAACTGAGTAAAGTTATTTTGATATCCAAATACATCACGGAGCATGCAAGAGAGTCAGTGGAAACAGATAGTTGTTTTGTGAAATGTATAAGGAAGACCTCACTGCCCAGGTAAAACTTGCCCCCTCCCCCCCAAAAAAAGCAAACTAAAACTTTTTTCTATCCCAGAATTGGGGGAATGGGTAGACAAAACACCAGTTAACAAGTTACTCTATTCCTCTAAAGTCTCTGCAAATTATACAATCAAAATATATCATCCAAGGTGTGTCCTTTTTAACCTACAAAAGCAAAAGAAATTACTACAAAACATATATTCTGCTTCATATGAAAGAAATTATAAAAATGGAGAAACTACACAGATGGAAAAACAAGGCATGGAAAAATAAGTTACATAAGAAAACTCAAATCATTAATGCAATAAAACTTATTTAAATTAGAAAAAGTAAAGGAAGCAAAGAATATGTTTAAGTGTTCTAAAGAGATGTATGCCTCTCTCATACACAAATCCATACTGTCTCACACACACATTTTATAACATACAGTTAAAATGATTTCACTTGAAGCCTAACTTTCTAGTTCAGTAAAAGAATATCAAAAGGCCTCAGAAATGTGCTCTAGCATATACATGTTATATTTCTAACATGCAAATTGTCAACTCAAGAATATTACTTTATAAATATTTTGATTCAGGCCCAGAGAGGCCTGAGAGCCGCTGGGCCCACAAGCCCTGAGTCAGCTGTGCCGGAACAGGCAGACACCATGGGACCTCCAGCCCAGGTCACTCCTCGCCGTTTAGAGAGGCCTGAGAGTCGCCAGGCCCACATGCCGTGAGCCAGCTGTGCTGGAACAGGCACATGCCATGGGACCCCCAGCCCAGGCTAGTCTGTGCTGTCCAGAATTTGCAGTCCTTTCAGGATCCAGGCCACATATCAGGGTGGAACGAGTAGATCGTGATACACCCTGCCACAATGACTAAACACCAAAGGAAAGTTACCAGAAATATGAAAAATCAAGAAAGTACATCACCACCAAAGGAAAATAATAACTCTCCAGTTCTAGATCCTACAGAGCAGGAAGTTCTTGAAATGACTGACAAGGAATTTCGAGAAACAATTCTAAGGAAACTAAATGAGATACAAGAAAACTCAGTTAGACAACACAAAGAAATGAGAAAAAATACACAGGACCTGAAAGAAGAAATGTACAAAGAAATCAATGCCCTGAAAAAGAATGTAGCAGAGCTTGTGGAGCTGAAGGATTCATTCACCGAAATAAAAAACACAACAGAGAGTCTAACCAAAAGGCTAGAACAAGCAGAAGAGAGAATTTCTGACCTTGAAGACAGGCTGTTTGAATAAACACAGGTGGACCAGAAAAAAGAAAAAAGAATTGGAAAAATTGAAGAAAATCTAAGAGAGAAAACAGATAACCTTTAGCACTCAAATAGCAGAATCGTGGGTATTCAGAAGGGGAGGAAAAAGGAAATGGAATTGAAAATATATTCAACAAAATAATAGCAGAAAACTTCCCAGGTATAGGGAAAGTCACAGATCTTCAGATTCAGGAGACCCAAAGACTCCCAAACATATTCAACCCAAAAAGGTCCTCTCCAAGACATGTTATAGTCAAACTGGCAAAACTCAAAGACAAAGGGAGAATCTTAAAAGCTGCAAAAGAGAAGCCGCAAGTCACCTATTAGGGAGCCCCAATCAGATTAACATCAGACTTTTCATCAGAAACCCTAAAAACTAGAAAAGAATGGGATGATATATTCAAAATACTAAAGGACAAAAATTGCCAGCCAAGAATACTTTACCTAGCAAAGCTATCCTTCCAAAACAAAGAACAAATAGTATATTTCTCAGACAAACAAAAACTGTGGGAGTTCACTACCACATGACCAGCCTTACAAAAAATTCTTAAAGGAGTACTTGGTTTCTTACCTGAAAAACAACCACCACTGCCATGAATACTCAAGAAAGAACAAAACCTACCAATAAAACAAAAATGCTAACAATGAAGAGAAAAGATAGTTTATCTACCACTCCAAGAGACCAACAAACACAGAAGACAGAAAATCAGAAAGAGAGGAACAAAAGATACTTAAGACATATAAACAAAAATCAAGGGCCGAGCCCGTGGCGCACTTGGGAGAGTGCAGCGCTGGGAACACAGCAGCGCTCCCGCCGCGGGTTCAGATCCTATATAGGGATGACCGGTGCGCTCACAGCGCTCACTGGTTGAGCGCGGTGCGGTTGGGCTCAAAAAGGACAAAAAAAAAAAAAATCAATAAAATACTAGGAGTAAATCAACACCTTTCAATAATACCTCTAAATGTAAAGGGATTATATTCCCCAATAAAAAGACACAGACTTGACTGACTGGATTAAAAAGATGGACCCAACAATATGCTAACTTCAAGAGAATCACCTCATCTGTAAAGACACACATAGACTAAGAGTGAAAGGATAGAAAAAGATATACCATGCAAATAGAAATGAAAAACGAGCTGGAGTAGCTATTCGTATATCAGATAAAGTAGACTTTAAAGCAAAAACCACAAAAAGAGATAAAGAAGGCCACTATATAATGATAAAAGGATCTATCCATCAAGAAGACATAACAATCATAAATATATATGCACTTAATATTGGAGCAACCAGATTTATAAAGCAAACACTATTAGACCTAAAGAATGAGATAGACACTGACACCATAATACTTGGGGACCTGAACATCCCACTCTCAAAATTGGACAGATCATCTAGGCAAAAAAATCAACAGAGAAACACAAGATCTAAAGAAAACTTTAGAACAACTGGACTTGGCAGATATCTTCAGAACATTCCATCCAAAAATCTCAGAATATTCATTCTTCTCATCAGCACACGGGACATTCTCCAGGATAGACCATGTTAGGTCACAAATCAAGTCTCAACAAATTTAACAAAACTGGAATTATTCCATGTATTTTTTCAGATCACAATGGATTAAAATTAGAAATCAATAACAAACGAAACTCCGGAAACTACACAAACACATGGAAATTAAACAACATTCTACTTAATGACATATGGGTTCAAGAATCAATTAAACAGGAAATCAAAAAATTTATTGAAACTAATGAAAATAATGACACATCATACCAAAACCTGTGGGATACTGCATAAGTAGTACTAGGGGAGAAATTAATCACTTTAAAAGCTTACTTCAGAAAAATGGAAAGATGGCAAATAAACAACCTAACAATTCATCCTAAAGAACTAGAAAAACAAGAACAATACAAACCCAAAGTTAGTAGACAGATAGAAATAATTAAGATCGGAGCAGAACTAAATGAAATAGAAACCTGAAAAACAATACAAAAGATTAATGAAACAAAAAGTTGTTTTTTTGAAAAGATAAATAAAACTGACAAACCTTTAGCATGGCTAACTAAGAAAAGAAGAGAGAAGAACCAAATAACAAAAATTAGAAATGAAAAAGGTGATATTACAATTGATACCTTAGAAATACAGGGAATCATTAGAGACTACTATAAACAACTATATGCCAACAAATTTGAAAATCTGGAGGAAACGGATAAATCTCCAGACACATACAAACTACCAAAACTGAGCCAAGAAGATACAGAAAATCTGAACAGCGCAATAACAATAAAAGAGATTAAAGCTATTATCAGAAGGCTCCCAACAAAGAAAAGCCCAGGACTGGATGGATTCACCGCAGAGTTCTACCAAACCTTCAAAGAGGAATTGATACCAATTCTCTACAAACTATTCCAAAAGATTGAAACAGAGGCCATTCTCCCAAACTCATTCTATGAGGCAAACATCACCCTGATACCCAAACTGGAAAAGATGCATCAAAAATGGAAAACTACAGGCCAATATCCTTGATGAACATAGATGCAAAAATCATCAATAAAATAACTAGCTAACAGAATACAGCAACACATACACAAAATTATACACCATGATCAAGTGGGATTCATCCCAGGGATGCGAGGTTGGTTCAACAGACGAAAATCAATAAATGTGATAAACCACATCAACAAAAGCAAAGACAAAAACCATATGATCATTTCTATGGACGCTGAAAAAGCCTTTGACAAAATTCAACATTTGTTCAGGATAAAGACTGTCTATGAGTTAGGTATAGATGGAAAGTATCTCAATACAATTAAAGCCACATATGATAAGCTCACTGCCAATATCATCCTGAATGGGGAAAAGCTATAAGCTTTTCCCTTAAGAACAGGAACTAGACAAGTATGCTCACTCTTACCACCCCTATTCAACATAGTGTTAGAAGTACCAGCCAGGACAATCAGAGAAGAGAAGGAAATAAAGGGCATCCAGATTGGAAAGGATGAAGCCAAACTGTCCCTGTTTGTGGATACGATCCTATATATTGAACAGCCTTAAGCCTCTACAAAAAAACTCCTAGAGTTGATAAATGATATGAGCAAAGTTGCAGGATACAAAATCAACACACAAAAATCAGTAGCATTTCTATACTCCAACAGTGAACATGCAGAAAAAGAAATCAAGAAAGCTAGCTGATTTACAATAACCACCAAAAAAATAAAATACCTCTAAATGTAAAGTTAACCAAGGAATAAAGTTAACCAAGGATGTGAAAAATCTCTACAAAGAGACCTACAAACTACTGTTGAGAGAAATTAAAGAGGACACAAGAAGATGGAACAATATCCCATGCTCTTGGATCAGAAGAATTAACATTGTGAAAATGTCTATATACCCAAAGTGATCTACAGATTCAATGCAATTCCCATAAAAATTCCAATGATATTTTTCTCAGAAATGGAAAAAACTATCCAGACATTTACACGGAATAACAAGAGACCATGCATAGCCAAAGCAATCCTGAGCCAAAAAAATAAAGCTGGAGGCAAAACACTACCTGACTTTAAACTATATTACAAAGCTATAATAACCAAAACAGCATGGTACTAGCATAAAAACAGACACACGGATAAATGGAATAGAATAGAGAACCCAGAAATCAACCCATACACCTACAGCCATCTGATCTTTGACAAAGGCACCAAGTTTACACACTGGGGAAGAGACTGCCTCTTCAGCAAATGGTGCTGGGAAAACTGGATATTCCTATGTAGGAGAATGAAACTAGACCCATACCTCTCACCATATACCAAAATCAACTCAAAATGGATTAAAGAATTAAATATACATCCCAAAACAATAAAACTCCTTAAAGAAAATATAAGGGAAACACTGCAGGGAGTAGGAATGGGTACAGACTTCATGAATATGACCCCAAAAGCACAGGCAACCAAAGGAAAAATAAACAAATGGGATTATATCAAACTAAAAGGTTTCTGCAGAGCATAAGAAATAATCAACAGAGTGAAAGACAACTGACAGAGTGGGAGAAAATATTTTCAAAATATACATCTGACAATGGATTAATATCCAGAATATACAAGGAACTCAAACAACTTTACAGCAAAAAACCAAATAACCCAATTAAAAAATGGGCAAAGGAGCTGAATAGGCATTTCTCAAAGGAAGATATATGAATGGCCAACAGACACATGAAAAAATGCTCAATATCTCTCAGCATTCGGGAAATACAAATCAAAACCACTTTGAGATACCATCTCACTCCAGTCAGGATGGCTAATATCCAAAAAACCAAGAATGATAAATGCTGGTGACATTGTGGAGAAAAAGGAACTCTCATACACTGTTGGTGGGATTGCAAAATAATGCAGCCTTTATGGAAAATGGTATGGAGGTTCCTCAAACAATTACAGATAGATCTACCATATGACCCAGCTATTCCACTGCTGGGTATATACCCAGAGGAATGGAAATCATCATGCCAAAGGGATACCTGTACTCCAATGTTTATTGCAGCACTTCACAATAGCCAAGAGTTGGAACCAGCTCAAATGTCCATCTTGAGATGAGCGGATAAGGAAACTGTGGTATGTCTACACAATAGAATACTACTCTGGTATAAAAAAGAATGAAATACTACCATTTGCAACAACATGGACGGACTTAGAGAAAATTATATTAAGTGAACAAGTTAGGCATTGAAATATTCTCACTTATTTGTAGGAGCTAAAAATAAATAAATATACAAACAAATAAAGGATGGGGGAAGAAGAGAAGATGAAAAGTTCTGGAGGTGGATGGTGGTGTAGGCTGCACAACAATGTGAACATTCTTAATGCCACAGGACTGTACTCTTAAAGTGGTAAAAAGAGTACATTTTATGTGATGTCTCTTTTACCACAATAACAAAAATCATGGAAAAGGATTTCTTAGAATGGCTCTAACACAATGGTTAGAGCTCCAGTTCTGGATTCAGACCTGGTTTATAATCCTAGCTCAACAGTCAGTAGATGTTTAACCCTGGATAATAAAACACTTAACCTCAGGAAGATTCAATTTCCTTATCTGTAAATAATACCTTATCTACAACTTAGAGGTTTGTTGTGAGGATCAAGTGAAATAGTGCCTGTAAGGCAATTAATAGAGGGTCCAGAAGTGCTTAAATTTAGCTATTATCATTAGACTCTTAAAATGATGATGCTATTCCATCCTAATCCATAAGACACAATTCAAGTTGTGTACAATATTAGATACAATCATGGGACTGATAGGATTCTGTCCAATTATTCTAATTGAAGTATTTAAGATGGAAGTGATAACTAGGATAGGATTTATATAATGTGGGCCCGAGATTTCCATTCCAGTGCACTGTCAGAATTTACAGATATGGTCCCACAGTCACTATCAGTGATCACAGGCAATGGGGGAGGTGCCTGTAAGACTGGAGAAAGGTTCTGTGCAAACAGCTGAACTATGGAAAGTACTGCTGATGAACATTAAACAGATGGTCCACGAGCAGTTAGAGTAGAAAGGGGTCACTAAGAAGAAGGTATCCTACTCTAACCTCAAGTTTTAAAAAAATCATGTTTCAAAACAGATAAATGAAACCAATGATAGATTTACACATAACTTTGGGCAAGGTACCCTTTCTCAGTGCCAGTTTCTTCAACTGTGATATAACAACAGTTCCTATTATCAATATTGTTGTGAGAACTAAGTGAACTTAATACATGTAAAGTACGTCATACAATGTCTGCCCTAGTAGACAATAAATGTCAGGTGTATTGTATAGTGTATCGAGTTCTTTCACGAGATCTTTGTGGATAGGATTAAAAATAGACTAGATAAACCAATAGTTTTTTTTTTCTTTAAATCACACAGAAGTTCATTAAAGTTTATATAATAATGTTGAAAGGGTCTAAGATCTTTTAGCTTTACTTGAGAATAAATTTTTAATATTCCTATTTATATCCATGTCTGAAAAACCTACATACATATCCAAGAGTACTTCAAAAAGTTCTTGGAAAACAGAACTAAAAGATAGTACAAATCTTTCCATGAGCTTTCTGAAGACCCCTTGTATGTTGTATGTATGTGTACATATCTTTTAGCCATGTAACATGCAATTAGCTTCAAATGAAGGAGCAAATTTGAGACAATCCAAAACTACAAGCTTCCCCAGATGATTTGGATAACTGTAAGTAGCACATCAAAGTAACAGGAAATGATCTACCAGCAGGCTTGATTAACAGTACAGCTGCTTCACATATGTAAAATTATATCTAGTACTTCATGGTTAATAAGAGCTAAGATTTATTCTTTTTTTTTTTTTTTTTGTTTTTGTCTTTTGTCTTTTGT